GAGAATTGTTAACGATATTGCCAATATCCACACAGCTGACAGCTTTACCGGTTGTAGTTTGTTCAAGTTGTGCACGAAACAGACACTGCTTTTCTGCACTTTCACTTCGCACGTCTCCATCATTTCGATCTCTCTCGCGCTGCACAACTGAGCTGCATTTAGCAGGTGTGCGAAAATGCTGCAGAGATCAGGACTGTTTGAAACTAATTTTTCCACTAAAACTTTGATGCGCATCGTCTCAGTTTAATACGTGAACATAAAAGATGTGATCGCAAAACAATCAGGAAAAAAGGCATTACATGCAAATTTTTAAGTTATAACATGTAAATATATATAGTCGCCAGTGGCGACCTCAGCAAAAACTTCACTCGCAAATGAATATTTTTAGTCGCAGTCTGGAGCCCTGAAGTCTGACGTGCTAGTAAAGCCTCTGGGATGCACACTAAAAGGGGATACGGATAAGAGGCGAGAAGTGGAGGTGGGTGGTTCAGGATTTACGCGCCAGTTTGAGCAAATCTGCCAAAGAAGTTCAAACTTGACAAAACACAAAACTGTAGTGCACAAACACATGGACACTTACGTGGCCGAGTACTCAAACAGCCCATAATAAGGGTTAAACATCTCCTTGGAGAGCAGGAAGAACCATTCTCTGGCTACGCCCCCATAGTCCAGGCCTTTCTCCGATTCAAACTCGATCCACAGACGGGCCTTCAGACTGTCGGGTCTCTTCATGGACATGATTCGTCTGTACGACTCCTCCAAGATGTTATTCCTGTGCAGCTTCATCTCAAAACGGTTCGGAATATCTGCCTGTGGGGGAGAGAGAGATTCAAGTAACATACAGCTGCATCCTGGAATTCATGATATTTGGATGATTAAAATCACAAAATAATAACCTAAGCTCACGGTTAGTGACTAACATTTAAATTTAATATGAAGGCTTGAAACAATCACTGCACTGTAAAGGAATGCGTTTCTGTCGTGTGAAGAACAATTTAAAACCCAATTTAAAAAAAAAAAGAAGAAGAAAAAAAAAAAAGCGCTCTTCACTCCTCGACAGGGATTTCACACGGAATAAATTAGAGTGTCTAGGAATACAGTATGTGACAGGAAAGAGCTCATGGTAATGTCTCTGAAAACGCTTCGTTTCTTACCGGTTTCTTTAACTTCTTTCTGAAGTAGTCATACTTCTGCTTGAATTCTCTGGAATACGGCACTGCCTAAGAGAAGACAAATAAATAAACAACTGAATACAATAAAACTAAAACTAAAAATGAAACTCGATCAGTGGGGGGACTTGTACCAATGGACAAGCAAGAAGGCAAACATGAGTTTGGAAATAATTAGAAATGTTTTCAAAAGAACTTCAACACACACACACACACACACACACACACACATACATATATATATTAGTTTAAATATATATATATGTATGTATGTATATATGTATTTTTTTTAAACGAATAAAACATTTAAACAAAAAATGGCCTCTATTTTGCATTGTGACATAGCTTTTTAATTTTATTCTATTGTAAAAAGTAATTTTTATCTTGTAATACCTCTAATTTAATCAGTTAAAAAAAAAAGGATTCTATAAAATTTTTAACTGTAATGCAATAAAAATTTCAATATTGCAGTAATGATCATTGTGAAAAACGAGAATTACTTATTATTACTATTAATAATAATACTAATAGTAAAACAATCAAAACTAAAAATTAGCCATTAAAAATTTTGCATTTTAATTGTATGTGTAATCGTAAGTATTTTTTTCTTCTACTCCTAACAAATCTCCTTGTATTCTCTACCATTTTTTTTTTTATAACAAAAAGCCACAAGTGTTATAGGAGAACAGAGACAGAATAATAGAAAGACTGTGACAGAAAATAAAAGTACACTCACAGGTCCAGTTATGGCGGGACTCTGGAGGCGAGGGTCTTCCCACTGCGTTTTTTTGGTGTCTGAGGGGGAGAAGAGGAATTGTATAAGCCTCACGTTTTTCATTGCTATTTGGTACAGATTAAATTTACAGAAAACTAGCTGCCCTTTAAAAAGAAATTTGTTAATTTAACAAACTTTCAATGTGGTGGTTCAACATAAATCAGTGTAGACACCACTGGACCTGGCAAACACTCGAGGTCGTTTGTGAATGTGTGGAGCTGACAAACAAAACAGGTGTATATCGACCACGGCAGCAGACTCAGCAGTGCTTGAACACACCCGTGTTGTGACGGACACCGAGGGCATGTCCGAGTTTAATGATGCATGAGTAAAATGATCTCCCAACTAAGTATTACCTTAAACATCTAAATAGATATTGATCACACAGCACAGAATAAAGTTACTGAGACAAAACAACAAATAGGAACTTGAGAGCATATCTGTGAATGGAACCTGCATTAGTGTTTGTGTAAAACAGAAGGCAGCTGGATTATAGTTCCCAAGAGTAGACGGCAAAACTATGCTGGATTCCATCTCATTTTGGCCAAATTTTAAAGCAGAGTTTCAAACTCCAAAACTGAATAAAAACATCTGCCCAGTATTTTCTACCCAGTATTACAGTACGTTTACAGTGATGTAAAGACATTCAAAATTTAATAAAAAAAGAGAGAAGTTTTATTGTTAAAAACTATCGCTGTCAATAGCATAAAATAATTGTAATTTCTGACCATATAAAGCAGAACGAAATGTTGAATTTTGTGTTTTATTTTAAATATATTTTAAAATATATTCAAAATGAAAACAGTTCTTTTAAATCATGTATAAAACTTAACTGCTGCCAAAAGTATAAAATATTTAGAATACTTTGGAAAGGAAAATGAAAAGTAATTTTAGACCATAAATATTAGTGTATGTGTTAAATATAATATTTTTAATAACTTAAAGTGATAGTTCACCCCAAAAAACCTGTATGAGATTCTTTCATCTGTTGAACAAAAGAAGATATTTTGAAGAATGTTGGTAACCAACAGTTGATGGTCCCCATTGACTTCCATAGTGTTTTTTTTTCCCATACTATGGAAGTCAATGGGGACCATCAACTGTTCATTTAACCACATTCTTCAAAATATCTTCTTTTGTGTTCAACAGAAGAAAGAAATTCATGCAGGTTTGGAACAACAAAAATTTTTGGATAAACATACCTTTAAGTTAACATGTTAGCTTAAGGTTTAAATTTTGCACTCAAATGTGTCTGCTTATTCTGTCAATAAATTAGTGTCCTTACTATGGTCGATGTAAAAGGTTCTCCCGTCTGCGTGCACTCGTTCCTCCCACCCAGGCTGCGGAGATTCAGAGAAAAAGAGAGACATTAAGATCAGACGAAACCACCGGACCTGATACACCACTGATACATCAACACAACAACTGAAACAGATAATGTGACGGGAGGAAGGAACAGAAATATATGACGATTCCTCTGTTCAGTGTGGGAGAGCTTCCACGACAGGGTTCCACTAGCATGCAGAAGAGACATCCATTTATTCACTCTCACTCTGACAAACACACACACACGCATTCACATACTGCTCCTCTTTTGAGAGCGGAGACCCCCGAGAGCTGCAAACCCACGTTGATACCAACATCACAAGAAACCGCCAGGCCTGACAAAAATCACAGCCAGGGATACATATCCAAACAGGCCAACAATTCATAACCCACGACATCAAGGGAAGCTGTTTAATGACCCACACATGGGATCCGGAGAGGGGACAAGACCTTCGTTTACGAATGAGAGACTCTGGGCCAGCACTGAAGACAAGCTCACGTGCTGAATGAGCATCAACCAAAACTGGCATCGAATGAAGCACAGGATGCACACTGTGCAGAGGTGGAGGATGCAGAGAAGAGGAAGGATGACGGATGGATAAATGATAATCAACACAACCAGATACGAGATACGTGCAGAGGGAAATATAAAGAGAGAAAGATGGAGACAGACAGGACAAACAGAGCTCAAAAGATGGGTTCTGGAAGTAAAAATCCAGTTTAGGGTTGCACTGATGTGTATCTTTTAAAACACACACCTACCAAGAGTTCTGCAATTGTAAAGTAATGATATATGCTTATGTAAATATTTCAGTCTGTTGTAATTTTTGGTGGGTCACAACCCAAAACCCTATATTTTGTTGAAAATCATTCTGCCACTTATTCAGCATTTGGCCTAGTTATTAATCCATGTGTTAGGCAGATAAATGAGACTTTTCTTGCTGTTTATGCATTTACAAACCTGTAATTTCTCCTAATCAAACAGTATAATTTCTAAAATAAAATAAAATAAAATAAAATAGGTAGGTACCAGAGCATGTGAGCGAAGCGGAGCGGTGTGACGCTCCGCTACGTTTTCCGCTCTATGGACAGTCGCTCTAACCGCCCAAGCAAGCGCTCCGTTAATATTCCGCTCACGCTCACCATAAACCAATTCCCGCTCAGATCCCGCTCCGTTCTGTAAAGAACAAATTTGCGTGCATTATATTAGATTATAAATTACTGCTGCCTATATCTAGCCTACATTCTGAAGGACTACCTATTGTTTCGGGTCAGTTTTTTTTTTTTAAATAATATTTTAATAGGCCTAAGTGGTGTAGGCTAATATCTTCTGTACTCTGTAGTTCTGCATTTAGGCCTATATACAGCTGTGTGTTAGCTTAGGTCTACAGTTTAACTGAGATTATTTAATAACTACGGAGCTCCGAATATAATTCGAATTAACAATTCGTTTCTACGACGTCAGCAGGTTTTATTATTTTTTTAATTTATTATTATTTATTAAGTTTAAGCAATAATGATTTTAATAAGTAATTACGAAATATAATAATTCGTTCCACGATTTAGGCCTACTAAATCTAGGGAATGAACGAATTAACGAACGAATGAATTCGTGGCAGCTAAGCCTAAACAAGAGAATGAATACTTAATTCGAGGCCATAATTTAGACTAAACGAAAAAATTAATTCTTAATTCGTGGCCATAACTAGCCTATTCTAAATTCATGGCCGTGATTTTGTCTACATGTCATGATCGGGGCTCCGTACAACCGAATATAACCTTAGCCTACCTGTTTATTCATTTATTATGGTATGTAACTAGCTCACCTTTTGCTGCACCATGTTTGCGTAGCACATCTTC